GAGGCAATTAGGGAAAAATTACGATGGTAATTAATAAAAAAAAGTTTCCTTCTTTCTTCCTGCCTCTGCTCTTGACCAGACAAATGAATAAACTCTCATGAGTAAGTGAAAATGATAACGACACCGTTTTGAAGCATGCAATTTAATTTACTGTATAAAACAATGATAAACGACACCGTTTTGTCATTTAATTTAAAGAAAGTTAATTTCGATTAAACATCACTTATTATTACGAAAAACGAAAAAGTACATATTTATTACAAGAGTTTTATTTTTCCAGCAGAACAAGAGTTACTGTATTATTTAATTTGTACATTCATAACAGAAAGAGATTAGAGCCAAACAAAAACTATTACAAAAAGACTAACCATTGGCACGTTTCTTGACGGGTACAGCATAAAGTGGGTTGGTCTTATGCAAGGTAAGACCAAAGGTCTCGTCCATGTCCAAATCCTCAGGAACGACGCCGTTTTCAAGCTTCCATTGAAACGAATGAAGAAGAGAAGCAAGCACGAGTGACACAGTCCTCATAGCCAAAGACATTCCAGGACATATCCTTCGTCCAGCTCCAAACGGTATCAACTCAAAATCTCTACCTTTCAAATCAATTTCACGTCCTGACAAAAACCTCTCTGGCTCGAACCAGTCCGGGTTTTCCCAAATGCTCGGGTCTCGTCCTATAGCCCAAACGTTTACCAAAACCTGAGCATTCTTAGGAACGGGAAACCCTAAAACTTCTGTATCTGATTCGGCTTTGTGTGGGGCTAGGAGTGGACCCGGTGGGTGCAAACGCAGAGTCTCTTTCACTACTGCTTGTAGATAAGGAAGATCCGAGATATCTGACTCCTGAACGACACCGTTTGGACCTACCACATTGTCTATCTCCGCTTGAGCTTTAGCCATTGTTATAGGGTTGCGAAGTAGCTCAGCCATTGCCCATTCCACCGTGGTCGAGTTCGTATCTGTTCCTCCAAGAAACAAGTCCTGACACAATCAAACACATATAAGTAGTATTAGATCTACATGGCTCAATTTATTATTTCAAATGCAAAATGATTAATAAGATTAGGATTTCCTTATCTATATATATCATATATGTAACTACGGGCCTTTCATATCAATTCTTGAATCACATACGTAGAGAAAGTGTTTGATATCGTTCACGTTTAGCTCAGAACCCTTTTCTTTAGTTAATTCCATTAGCGAATCCAAGAGATCGATTTCAGTCCTCGATAATTTCTCATTGTTCCGAGCATCGATGAACCCTTGAAAGACCTGAAACAGCCTATCCGAGCATACCTTCATCTCTTTACGGATACCTTGCAGATCAAGAAACCCGAGAAAAGGAAAAAAGTTGGCGAGGTTTGGTTTCCCGATGAATTCCATGATGCGAACCACCGAGTCCTGGAGCTCCAGGGAGGCTTTTGGGTCGTAACTACCCAAGTCAGTCGAAAACATAGCGTTTGAGATTATATTGAGAGATGTGACGAAGGAGGCACGAGCAATGTCGACGGATTCTCCTTTTTCGCATATTCGCTCATAAAGGTTACAAGTTCCTTCACTTTCTTCGACCGTACGAACTTCGTGGCGTCGAGACGCTGCGGGGAGAACAACAGAGTCGCCGATATCTTCCTCCATAACCTAAGTGGAACAGAGTAGAGCCGTAAACTGTAAATTATCTAAAACTCAATAATTTTGTGCTAATTATATACTAGTTAAGGGCTTTATATATAATGAAATGTGTTCATATGGGGTGTCGGAACGAATAATAGCGGATAAAGATTAGGAACATATAATTCATGATAATATAATGAAATGTGTTCATATGATGAGGATTCAGAACGGAAAATAGCATATAAGGATTAGGAACTAGTAATTGTTTGAGTACTTC